ACACTTATGGGCCTGTGTATAGGGAAGATTATGCTCAGACAATTAACCTTGTTTATGGGACGGAGGGTAATAAGATACTTTAAGTTCTGATTTACCAGTTATAAAGGCAAAATTTTTGATGAATTGGAGGATAAAAAAGTTCTTGTCCAATGTCTGCTTCTTTGATAAGGATACAATGGAAAATCTTTCCCTAAAATATTTTTTAATCTCCAATAGTTGCTGTACAGAAACTGAATTTTTTTCCCTCCTGTAGGTTATGCTTCCACCTGGTTCTCAACATTCAGATGATAAAGGTGCTAAAGAAATTATCCTTGATGATGATGAGTGCCCTCTTCAGATATTCAGGGAATGGCCTAGTGACAAAGGTACATTAAAACAAAATATAGCCATTTCTCTTGAAGATATTCTAACCCATCATTGTGCAACTGTGTAGAGTAGAGATCTATTTTTTCTTAAGTCCACATCCAAAACTTTTCAAGAAGTTCTTCATGGTTTGATTTGCTCATTCTGTGCTGTTTGTTCCATTATACTGTACCAATAGAAAGGTATACATTCTCCTGAATTCTCTGAAGTTGGCAAAGAATGGAGGTAGCAAGCAGTATAGCTTTCAATTGTTTTGTCAGAGAAACGTAAGGAACATAGTACAGTTGGTTTAAATGAGGAACAGTTGACACTTCTTGGGATGTTGTGTTTTTGTTTACATTTTGACACTTGAACTTAATGGACGTATATAATGTGTTCTAGGAATATTAGTGTTTCAGTTGAAAAGACGTCCTCCTGACTATATCCCAAAGAAATCCAAGAAACAAACGGATGGAAAGCCATTAAAGGGGAAGGAAAGAGTTGATGGGTCTGGCTATGGCTCTTGCCTTCCTCCTGAGAAACTACCATATCTGGTAGAATTAAGCCCAGGTAAGAGATTTGACTTATTTATGGCCTGTGGGGTTTTGATTGAATTGTAGATTAGATTTGGTATGCTTTAATTAGATTTTATAGTGTGCAGTAGTTAAAATACTTAACAATCTTTAACAAGTATCATATTACTTTGGTAGCAAATATCTATAGGTTTTTATGGGCTAGTTATAAAGGTTAACATTGCAGTGTTGCAAAGTGTTCTTCTGTTTTCTGTGTTAAGCAACTTTATCAAAAAAATCTGAAGGCAAATCGCATTCAATAAACTGGCACTATAAAGGAACATTGAATCACTTGGTCTTTAATGGGAAATTGATTCTGATTTTTGTCAAGATAAAAGGAAAGAGAATAACTCATAGGGAATCACTGAATATGGGTTTGAAGTCTAAATTGTGAAATGAGAAATAGTTCCAATGAATCAAAACTTTGAGAAGACAAGAAATTATTTTTAATATTGTCTTTTTGTC